CAAAGAGGAACCTGTTTTGGAGGCTGGGGACAGAGCTCAGAGGAGAGGCCAAAGCCCTGAGCACTGGGACATATGGCATTTGTCAATCAAATGCAGAGCAACCTTCAAAAAGCCATTAGAAGGCAGCCCCATGCCGTCTCGGCCATTTGTGCCGGCTGATGGCTCCCCTGTCCCGCAGGCCCTACAGACGCTCCGTTTCTGGGACTAATTAGCCTTCCAGAGGGCAATCAAGGGCCTCTGCTGGAACTTTCTTAGGAACTGAGCCGTTAGATGGCTTCAAAAGGACACCACTAGGAATGGGCAAAAGCAGCTCTCTTCCCGGCTGGGCCAGGCGGCTTCCGCTACCTGCGCGGCCTGGCAGCACCGGTGAGGGGCCCCCCACAGGGCACGTCCCCGGGCCTGGACAGGCCGTCGCCACCTCGCCAAGGCTCCCTCTCCCGCCGACCACACGCCTTTCCAAAGTTCACCCTTACTCTTCACCACGTCGTCCAACCCGGCGTTTGCATCAGTAAACATCGTCAGAGCCCCGCGAGGGCAAGAGCTGGTGTGCTTTGCTCACTGCCAGACCTTCCGAGGCGGGGAGTCACCAGGCACCGAGCACCTCGTTAATGTGGCCAAGTACATACATGAGTTTCATCCCAGCTGAACTGAGCCTGTGGGATCTCCTTCCAGGAACATACTTCTAACGGGGCAGATGTCTTTATTTTCTCTTGTTCGTAACGTGATGTAGATTGAGGGAGAATCTGGTCCCTGAATTTTCCTTCTGCAAATGCGTTCAGGGTGATCCGCATCCCCTTCCTAGGAATGGCATCAGATGGGGTCAAATGGAAGTGCCAGCTTCTGCCGAGGCTCAGGCTGCCTGTCTGTGCCCTTTCTGCCGCCTGTTCCCACCGACGGCCCAACCCCGTGCAGCCTTCTGGGGGGTCACCGTGACCTGCTCAGACAGAGGGGTGACGGTTCCCTGTCGCCTGGGCTTTATTCAGCTGCCTCCTCCCTGCTTCGTGCCCAGTGAGCCCGATGCCCGACCCTTGCTCCTGGCCCGGCGCTCCTGCCATCTGGGCAAAGCAGACCCCGGGGACGGCCCCCAGAACCAAAAGCTGGCCTGTCAGGGTCAGGAAGGGAGGGCAAGTCTTACCAGGCACCAGGATGAAACAAAGGGGTGCCGAGTCCTTCCCAGCCACCTCTCGCTGGTGGGAACGGAGGACGGGAACACCGGGAAAATGAAACTCCAGACAGTCCCAGGACCGAGAATGTGTGGAACCCCCGGGCCAGGTGCAGGCAGGCCTTCCACACCATTGTCTTGCCCTGTCTTGACCCCAGGTGTCCAGCAGGCACTGCGGGGCTCGGGGGCTGCCCAGCGGGACAGCTCTGGGGCTGCAGTTAGCAAATCGTCTCGCAAATATGTATTCCCTTCCCTTCTCGCACCCTTCCTTCCGTCATCCAAGCTCCCTTCTGTGTCCGTTTCTTACGATGAGAGTTGGAAAAGCGTCCCCTGTAGAAATGTTGAAAAGTACGGAAGCATAGAGATAAAAGTGAAAAATAAAAATTACCTGTAATTCTGGGATCCAGAAATGTCTTTCATAAAGGGGTCAATTTTATCAGCAAATCTTAAAATGTGTCAGATCATGAGCCTTTTCGTGTCATTAACTTTTCTAAAATTTGAATCTTAGTGGCTGCCTAGGGCTCCATTTATTACACCAATCCCCTATTGTTGGACATTTATGTCTTCTCCAAATTTTTACCATCGTAAAAAATGCTGCAGTGAACATCCTAGAAGGTAAATCTTTGTGACTATCTCTAATTAATTCATTAAGATAAATTCCTAGGATAAATTCCTGTAAAAACAATGTGTCAAGTGGGATGACTATATTTAAAGCTATTTGGACACATCCCCCATGGACACTCGGGGGAAGTCCCATCACTGAAAATCCCAGTGGAAGCTTACCAAAGGGTCCAGCCCCTTGAACCCAGCCCGCACTGAGTACCCACTGCCCCCCTCAAATTTGATAGGCAAAAAAGACATTGTTTTGTTTTCATTCCTTTGACCTCAAGATTGGACTTTTTAAAAATATGTTCTTGACTCATCTCTATTTGGCATTTTGGAAAATTTCTGTTTGTATCCTTTGTCCATGTTTTCCACCAGAATATTAATTTTTTACAAAAATTGAACCTGTAGGAGTTAACATTCATAAGCTACAAAACCCTTGTGTCGCTTTTTCCCCTTTTTCTCCCTTAGTTTGGTGTCTCCACCCTCAGTCTCTATCTGCAACGTGGGTTACTTGGACCAAACGACCTCTCGACCCCAAGGTCATTTCAAAACCCTCAGCCCTCTCTCTCTGTTGTAACCCCCTTTTCAGCCATGCCGGGGCTCCAAACTCATTAGTATGTCTCCTGGGACCTTGAGTTTGACTTGTCTGCCAAGGTGGACCTTCCACTTGAATAATCCAGGTAGGTCCCCTACATAGGCCCCCGGTGGGAGAGGAAGCCAGTTCCCCTGGCCCCAGGAAGGGGTCCCGGCTGGGGTCTCTGTGGCCGTTATGAGGGCCACCCCCCCCCCAATTGGTTGAAGAAGTAATAAGTCCACACAATGGACTCAGATGTAGATGCAAATTTTGTGACATGGGAGAATTTATTTTTAAATAAGAAGAGTAGATTCCAGAGCAATAAAAGCCCTTACAGACACACACACACACACACACACACACACACACACCGAGAACAAATGTGAATCGCCGGTCCCTGAGCAACTCCCCTCCATTTCCTGTCTCCCTTCAGATGTCGCCTCTAAACGCACTGCTCTGAGGCAGTTGCCCCTGAAGTCACGTCCCCGCTGCCAGCGTGTCATAGGCAGCTCTGGGTGGAACCTCATTACACCGTCTGCCGGGTCATGGCAGGCCTGTCGGCACTGGAAGGATGGTCTGCAGAGGCCTGGTTGCTGTATGTGGAATGGGGCTTCTTCAGGAAGAATTTTCTCCTGTTGGCCGTTTTGTGGATCTCGAGGCCTGGGCTCAGAACTTCCTAAAACAGGGGTTCTCAAGGGCGTGGGGGCAGAATTCACTGCACTGCTGTTTTAAACTACACTCCAGGGCCAACAGAAAAACAGTCTGGGGTGCCTGGGTGGCTCAGTGGGTTAAGCATCTGACTTCGGCTCAGGTTATGACCCCACGGCTCATGAGTTCAAACCCGGAGTCGGGCTTTGTGCTGACAGCTCAGAGCCTGGAGCCTGCTTCGGATTCTGTGTCTCCCTCTCTCCCTGCCCCTCCCCCACGCTCGCGCATGCACGCTCGCTCTCTCTCTCTCTCTCTCTCTCTCTCAAACAAAACAAAACAAAACAAAACATGATCTGGGAATTGAACACTTAACCTGCCCCAACACACTCACCAGCACACACACACCCCCCTGCACACGCGTGTGCGTGTGCACACTTCTCGAAGATTAAGGCCACCGATCTCAGGCCTGGGGAACGTTTCCTGGCCCCTCCAGGCTGGTGTTTTCCGAGGACACGAGAACAGCTGTTTTGTTGTGACAGGTGAAGTCCAGGCTGCAGCCACGGTGTCTGTAGCCAAAGAGAAAAAGCCGGACGCTCCCGCCGCGGGGTCGAGTGTCTGCCACGCCCAGAACTGCAGACGTGAACCGGCTGGAAGGAGTCGGCGCTGTGTTGTTTTCAGCTGAAGGTGTGGGGGCCGAGCTCCTCGGTAACTACATCCGTCAGGGCTCACAAACGTGGGCCCGCCGAGGACCAGCCAGGCCGCCACCGGCTGGAGGCCACTCCTGGAGCCCGGGTCCTACCGCGGCAGCCTGGCCCAGGCTGACCGCCGGATGCGCCTCTTTAATGCGGGGCCGCGAGTCAGATGCTTCGTATCAGCCTGGGGGTCATAGCAGACCCCTTCCTCCTTCCGGATGCCTCCATCCTCCTTCCGGATGCCAAGAGGCAGTCCCCCAAATTTCAGAGTGTGGGAGGAAGTAGATCCTTCTAGAGAGCTGCAGCATAGGCTGGGGGAGCAGGGAGGGCCAGGGGCTCCGGGGAAGGGCCCGGAGCAGGGGTGTGAAAGGTGGAGCTGCTCCAGAATGACGACTCGTCTTACAAACACACATTAGTATCAAGCTTCAGAATTGTCAGATCCCGGGGCTATTGGGATGGCTCTTTTTAAGAATTCCTTACATTTGGGGAGCCTGGGTGGCTCAGTCGGTTAAGCGCCCCACTTCGTTGGGGTCATGATCTCCTGGTTCGTGGGTTCAAGCCCCGTGTCGGGTTCTGTGCTGACAGCTCGGACTCTGTCTCTCAAGTAAGTAAACATTTTTAAAAATTAAAAAAAAAAAAAAAAAAAAAAAGCCCAGTTTTCCAGTTTCTCATGTGGATAAATGGGGGTGGGGTGCTTCGGAATCAGGAAGGCCTCATGCAAATTAAACTACCCCCTGCCCCCCCCACCACCGCACCAGGACTCTGGGCCGTGAATGGGAACTCTCATACTGGTCTCGGATTAAATGAGGTCATGCTCGTGAGCTTCACCACTCAGGGCCCAGAAAGGCAGGAGCTCAGTAACTACTCACTCCTTTTGCCTGGAACCAGGAACAGGGAAACACCAGGGGGCCCGGTGGGGAGGTCAGGTCAACAGGGCTGGACGAGCACCCGCCAGGGCCCCCACCCCTCACCCCCCGCAGTGGACACACAGAGTGGAAGATCAGTTCCTGGGCTAGCAGGGGTGAATTCAATGAAGAGTAGGGCAGTTAGTCAAATAATTATTATCACAAAATATGATGAGAGACTGACAGGCAGAGTGATCTGGGAGGACAAGGAAGGAGTCAGTTGTAGATTATTTATATATTTATAGCATATATTTTACATGTTATATATTATATTATGATTCATAGATGATAGATGATGATAGATGATAGATAGATTATAGATAGATGTCTACTATGAACCAAGACCCATATCTACAGTGGGAATCAATCAACCTGATGCTGTAGACAGACAATGAACAAGAAGACAAATGAAAAAAAGTTACAAATCGAATATGTATTATAAAGGGAAAAATCTCAGTCAACATAACAGACTAACAGGAGGTTTCCCATGTTGGTGTATCAGAGAGGGCTTCTCTGAGGAGGTGACATAGGCAGGTCACCATGGGAAGAGATGGGGCAGGAGTCAGAGGGAGGAGCCCACTGGGAGGGACCGCAGGAGCCCGGGGAGAGGCCCTGGGGAAGGTGCCAGAAGGCTGGGAGGAGGATGGGCAGGGTCTGGAAGGAGTCTGTCGGGGTTGACTGGACTGAAGAGAGCTTCTTGAAGGATGCGGCACTGGGGAAGGCGTCCAAGGACAGGGCAGGATTCCCAGAGGAGGGCAGAGCATGTGAGCAGGTAAGCAGATGAGGGGCCTGGATGAGGTGGCAGGGTGGGGGTACTGAGCAGGGCTTTACCTTCAGGGAACCTGCCTGGACCTCAGTGTGGCCACAGGCAGGTGCGGCGGGTCTCCCCACCAGGGCATCCTGACGGATCGTCCCTAGCTGTGTGGTGGTGGTCGTGCTGGGCTGGGGGACTGGTGGCGATGGGCAGGGGAGAGTGGGGAGGGGAGCCTCCTGTGTCTGCTGTCCCTCGTGGCATTGCCCAGTGAGGCCCGGGGGATTAACTCCCTGTTCCTGGCGTCTCCCTTTTGTTCTCTCAGCCCCCCACAGCCTACTTAAAATCCCCTCTCTCTGGCACCTTTTGGACACCCCCTGCTTTGCGGGTGGACCCAGGCACGTGGCAGGAAGGCGGCTGTGAGGTGAGGGGGTGCCACGCAGGCCGGGACGTTCAGCCCGGGGACCTGACCGCAGCCCCTCGTCATTCAGGCTCATTCTCCTCATGGGACAGTCCACTCTGGAAAAGAGGTCCCGGGGTCGGCTCTCCAACTCGGTGAGGTCACCAAGGCCCCAGGCCCCCTCCACCCTCCCACCCCCGCCGTGCTTAGAGGGTTGGCTTTTGTCCTCAGGCTGCAAGATGGCTGCCGAAGCCCAGGCTCTATGTCCTTTGCTTCATCCACAGCAAGAAGGAGAAGGTAAGGAAGAGGGTTCTCTGCCTTGTCTGCTTTTGTCAAGGAGGACCTTGTTTCCCAGCCGCCTCCGGCTTCACCGTCTGGAAAAGAAGATTGGCCCACAGGGGCCTCCGCTACCTGGCACACAGAGCCAGGGGACTCACTGGCCTGCCGTGGCTCCTGTGGCCTGCTCCCTCCTGTGCCTCTGCCTCACAGGGACTTGAGGGGCAAACGGGACCAAGTCTAAGATGGGCTCAGGTTGCCCGTGTGTCTGACAAGGCCCTCGGTCATCAGTCATCAGGCTCGGCTCCCATCAGGCCCTAGCAGTGGGAGGCACCACAGGGCTGTGGCACCGGGGACTGTCCTCTCCCGGCGTCCGCCTCTGGGTGTGTGCCCAAGCACCCTAGAGTTTGTTCTGTGTGCCGGGAGATGCCGCCTCCTGAAGATCCAGCTCGGAGGCCCCCTGGCATGGACCTTGAGCCTGTCTTAGCTCCCCCATCCTTCCACATCACAGCTACCAGCCTTCTGGTTTGCAGCTCCACTCCTTGCCTCACGGCACGTCTGCTGTGGCTGTCCAGGCAGCTGTCTGCACCCCGAGTCTTCGTTCGGCAACGTTGCACGTACTTAACTCTCTGGCTCTCCTTGAACATTCGTCCCTGCAGCCCCTTTATTTCTGCCTCCCTGGGCCGGCTCGCCCATTTGTCTGGTCTCCATGGCGACAAGCACCTCTAATGGATACACAGTTCCCATGAGGTCATGCCCGCTGCCTCTTGTCACCTCCCCGCCTGCTCACACACGGCCTCTCCTGCCCCCAAATCACCAACGCATACCCATGGTCTAGTTTCACCTCCCAAGATTCATTTCCCCCTGTTTCTCTTGTTTTCTACGCAGTTTTACTTGGACCTGTGCCAACCCGCTCTGGAATCTGGTCTCTTGACAATGGGGATTGGGGATGGCCAGGGGTGTCGATCCCCTGCGTGGGTGCCATGGTCCAGCCAGGGACAGTGCTCTTTTGTGTACTGTCTGGAAGGGCATGGGCTGCAGTGTTGGCTTGTCTGGGTTGAAATCTCCACACGGCCACTTATTAGGTGTGTTCAGGAAGTAATTCCTGAGAGCCCACGGTGAGCCAGGCCCTGGGAATCCTACATTGTGGGACCATATAGTCTCTTTGTTCATGTAGCCTTTGGGCTGGTGGGAACGGGGTTGCCACATTTAGCAAGTAAATATACAGGATGCCCAGTTAGATTTGAATTTCAGATAAACGACGGTTTTTTTAGTGTAAGTATCGGTATTTGTTGTTTACCTGAAAATCAAATTTAACTGGGAATCCTATATTGCATCTGACAACCCTAAGTGGGACAGAAAGAAAACAAATAAGAAAATATGAGGATAACATAATTCCAGGACTCCAGTGGGTGCTGAGAAGAAAAAGCCAGTGATCTCAAGGGGCGTCTGAGTGGCTCAGTCGGTTGAGCGTCTGACTCCTGATTCCAGCTCAGGTCACGATCTCGTGGTTCATGAGTTTGAGCCCTGTTGTCAGCACAGAGGCTGCGTGAGATTCTCTCCCTCTCTTTCTGCCTTCCCCCGCTTTCCCTCTCTCTCTCAAAATAAATAAACTTAAAAAAAAAAAAAAAAAGCCAGAGCTCTCGAGAGCATCCCAAGGTGCCAACTGGATGGTTAGGGATGGTCTCCTGGAGTCCTGGGGGGTGGGAAGAAGCCTCCACATGCAAAGTCCACTGGTGAGCATTCCAGCCAGACAGAATAGCATGTGCAAAGGTGCTGAGGTAGGAGAGTTTGCCGTGGTCCTCAGCCAAACAGGCCAGTATGACTGGGTGGAGGGACCAGGAAGCAGGAGTGTACAACTGGAACTGATGGCATAATCGACCTGGCCACTATGAGTAGGTGCTCAACAAATCTTAGCTATTTTATACTGTTATTAATAATTATGATTTTAAATGTCAGCCAACTCTGAGTTCCAGACACGGTATGAAACACTCCTTCAGTCACTAAACTGCCATATTTATCCTAACTTTCTATAAAGAGGCCATTTCGGCACCTGTGGTGCTGAATACAGGCCAGCCAGGCATAAGACGTTTGCCTGGACATCTAACAATGATCTGAAAAGATTAAGATGCAGCATGTTGTCTGAAACTCCTGTTTTCAATCAGAAGACGTTAAAACATCAGCCAGGACCTCCCCACCCCCCAGTGTCAGTAGGAAAGTTGTGAAACGCACCTGTTGGTCAGCAGAGATGTTGGGCCTCCACTCATCCCTGATGCCTTACGTCTGCTCTGTGATTTGGCACATGTCACTCGACTTCTCTGAGCACTGGTTTGCTCCTCTGTAAAGCAGGGATAATAATTATAAGGGGTGCACGGTGCAGAGGGTCACCCGGAGGGTCCAGTGAAATAACGTCTAAGTGTCTGTCAGGCACTGAGGGCCGCATGGAGGAAGCCTGGGCCGATGGCTGCCTCCGTCATAATCGTCTCAGTTACCACCTCCTTCACCAGAAGGATAAGGAAAGGGAGACCCGGGGTCCTGAGCAGTAAGAAACGCCATCTTCCTGCCTCATTTTCCTGTGCAGGTGGCTTTCAGCCTGCCAAGGGGAGGAAAGATGATCTGACAAAGTTGCTCACAAGGACTGAAGTCAGATTTAGTGCACGGACATGTGTCAGGCTAAATGTCAGCGGACAGTGTTGAAGGGAGCCGCGCCTCACTCCTCACATGGGACCGTGACAGAGAGTGCGGGCCTTTTTTAGCAACTAAGCACAGGCTTGTGTCACAGTAGCCCAGCGATAGGGACGGGGGTCTGTCTCCGGCAGAACCTGCTCTCGGTGGGATGTGGTGCTCAGCGGCTGGGGGACCTTACGCGTTAACTCCATGCCCATCAGCCACGTGAGTCTTGGCTTTCTCCTCGGCCACGAGGGGATGGCGGAAGAGCCGCCCACGTCTCGGCGAGCTGGTGTGGGTGCAGGAGATGGCGTATGGCTAACCTGCTTGGCACGGTGTGTGGAACACAGAAACCTTGAGCGGTAGCCCAGGGCAAGGCCAACACCACCTTCAAGGCCGTCTGCGTCACTGGGGCGGGGCCGGGCAGGATACTGGCATCACTGAGCACGTGAGTGTGAGTGCGTGTGTGCAGAGGGCCACAATCCCGCCCGCATATCTGAGCCACACTACAGCAGGTGCATGGACCCACCGAGCCCCGAGGCCCCAGATCCTTTCCTTCCGAGTCGATGTTCGACAGGCCGCGTCAGCTACTCAGCCCTCAGTCTGGGCTCCGTATTGTAATTGTGTCTTCGGTCTGGCAGATCTTGGCGTGGACCACTGATCCCGCGGGCTGGAGGCTGGGCCTCTGGAAGGCCAGGCTGCAGGTGGTGGAGGGCATCCACTGGGAATTCGAGGTACAGCCACTTTACGGGGGAGGTGGGTGCACCGGGGAGGAGTGTAACCTTATAATTTTGCTGCCCCTTGAAAGAAAACTTTACATTTTAAATTAACAGCATGTCCACTGCCAGTATTTGTGGTTACTACCTGTAACGTAAATCTCTTTTAGAGATGTGTGAGAACAGCATACATAATGAAATATCAACATGTAACTTGATTTAAAGTGGCTTTTCGTTAATATAACAAATGAAGTGTACCAAAATTTGAAAGTATATTCCTTTGGGCCTAATTAAAACACTGAACAAAATACATGTATATGTATATTTTAAATGAAGACGTTCAGCAACCAGAATTAGCTACAGAAATTAATTCAACTTGAAAAGTGCACCGTGAGTACATTGTTATTATTAACGTAGCCAATCCTCTTTCCTGAGATATCTCAAATAATGGGCATCTGATTTAGTGCCTGCAAGGGGTGACAAGTGGGCTTTGCTTTAAAAATACCGTAGTATTTTTAATACACGGTGGCTTATCCCACGGGTGTCTTAACCGTGCTGCCTTTTGGTCGGAGGAGAATTTTCTGGGCACCTGTGACGGCGTCAGAGAGCTGGGATCTCCTCCGACTGAGGAGAGCTTCCTTGGCCCAACTTCTGTGCACAAAGGGCAGTGGCCTCTGTCTTGGGAGGCTGTGGCCAGAGCTCAGGAAGGAACAGGCTCTCTTTCAATGGGCAATAGCCCTGACAGGCACCCAAGCTGGCATCCAGGAATGGGTCCCTGCGGCTGGCCTGAAGACACACAGAAAGGACTAGAGACTAACCATGAGAAGGCAGGAGCCGGGGATGAAGGAGAGGCAGAAGCAGAAAAGCAGTGTGGTTCCACCGCTGAACCAAGGGCAGGGAATGAATGCATTTGCCATGACCCTCATCCCCTACTCTTTGGTGGCAGTAAACTAAAGGTGCACCGGAAACCCAGCAGAGGGGCCCCAGGCTCAAGGTGGGGCTCCAGGGGTCAGCACTCCAGGCTTGGGCAGCGAGTGGCTCCCTGCCGACAATTTTGGCCGGTGACAGAAGATACCCCAGAGGTCGGGGGACCGACAGAGAAACCTCCTTGCCCATGCACGTGACCCCTCAGCCATCTGGAACAGCGCCTTGTTTCTAGGGCTACGGAGCAGGACTTCTTACCATGACCCTCTGGGACGTGGATGGGCCTTAGGCTTGGCAGGAAATCTCTCCAGGCCCAGCAAGGCCCCAAGGACCAGGAGATCCCATCTGGGGACCGGAGAAGTGTGTGTGTGTGCACACGTGTGTGAGGATGAAACTACACAAAGATGGGCTTTCTCCAAACAGTGACCACATCTGTGCTGGCTGAGTGGCGACCTAGAACTCCAGTGGCGGGCGAGCCGTGTCACCCTTCTGTTCCTTCACGTCTACGTGGAGACATCGGTGGTTCCTGTCCTCCTAGGACTGATGTGAGGATTGGATTAAATACTGCGTACAAAGTATTATTCTTCAGAGCGCTAAGTACTTCATAATCGTTCATCACTATCCTGGTTTTTCTGTACGTTACTGGCTCATATTCCAGTCCCTGGGGGAGGGGAGTGAAGCACCATAACAATAACTGATACTTGTACAGCAATATATAATTGACACATTACTTTTGTGTCCCTGATCTCTGTTAAATGTGCAATGACACAGGCCAGGCCCTGGGTTGTTCTTCCTCCCTTTCGGAAGAAACAGGCTCTCAGGGTACAGACTTGCCCAGCACTACATAGCCCAGTGCTTCCAATCTGAATATCTGCCTTGGAACCCTGAGGATGAGGGAGGAAGCCCCCCCTCATGGACTCCAGAGAAAGCTCCGTAGAACCTTCTAGAACTTCCCTGACTTCCCTTAACAGGCTGGGGAAGAAGAAACTAAGCCAGGTGGGGCAGGTGCAGCTCAGCCTGACCAGGACCATCTCCTGAAAACACTTCCATTTGGTCAACAACTGGCTTTAATTCCACAGTTGCCACACCTGATTCCAGGGGGGAGGGAGGACCCAAGCCCCCAGGTCATACGTCTCCATTTCTAGGTGATTTGTTGGAAGATGGGTGGCTTCTACCAACAGCTCTTAAATATTAACATATCCCATTGGACGCATATTAACAGTCATATCGTAAAGATTTCCGGGTTCGTGGGACTTCGGAGATCTCTGGTTGTCATGCACGGCCTTCTGCATTTGAAGGTGCTGTGTCGTTCCCCGTGAGCACCAGCCCAGGTGGAAACAGGCTGGGCCCGAGAAGAGGCCTTGCAGGGTGTGGTCAGCAGAGCTCACGCACCTCGTCTGGCTGCTATTGCTTTATTCAACCAGCACATGTGTTCTCCACGAAGAGGCCCAGAGAGCTTCCCTCTCCTGCCTGGCAGTCATCCCGGCTCCCAGATCAGCAGCGCTCAGCAACACCCTGTACCTCCAGGAGCACCTTCTCCCAGGAGTCCAGGTCTGGGGGTGGGCACTGATGGGAAGCGGGGGAAGCAATCGGGACGGGAATCTGCCTATCAGAGGAAGCTGTGAGGAGAAGCCGAGGTGGAAAAGGTTGACTGGGCCTCTTTTGTCCTGAAAGGCAGTGGCCTGAACCCAGTCTTCAAAGGCCGGGAGGGACACAGGCTTCCATTCCAGGAGGGGAGGTAGACTGTTCCAGTGCATGCACGGAACCTCCCTGGGTAAGAGCTTCAGCAGCTCACTGCTCTCCAAGAAGTGACGGAGACCAAAGGTAGAAGTGGACTTCGAGAGCTCCTGGATGCATTCAGCAACTGAAGACAGGAGGTTCTGAAGGGAAGAGGACTGGAAGCGATGTGTTGGCTTCTAAACCGCTGGGGTAAAGGCCAGGTGGCCCAGGTCCAGCAGGGGCCTCCAAACACTTGCTGGTTCCCGACAGTGGGGGGGTCTTGCGGCCGTTTGCCTTAGCATTTGCTGGTTCCTTGCCTAGAACACCCTTCCTCTTGCTTTTGGCCTCTAAGATTCAACCTTCATTGAATATTGTGTGGATTTGAGTGGTATTTATTTCTTTATTTTTTAATTTTTCTAAAATGTTTATTTATTTTTGAGAGACAGAGAACAAGCAGGGGAGGGGCAGAGAGAGGGAGACACAGAATCTGAAGCAGACTGTAGGCTCTGAGCTGTCAGTGCTGAGCCTGATGTGGGGCTGGAACTCACGAACCACTAGATCGTGACCTGAGCTTAACTCAGGTGCTTAACTGACTGAGCCACCCAGGCGCCCCTTGAGTGTATTTCAAGAAGAGGATTGGCAGGATGTGGATCAGGCTGAATTTGGTGTTGAGAGAGCAAGGACGAGAAAGATGTCAACACAAGAAAAAAAATTTTTTTAATGTTTATAATTTATTTTTGAGAGAGAGAGAAAGGCAGAGAATCCCAAGCAGGCCCTAGGCTGTCAGCGCAGAACCTGATGCAGGGCTCGAACCGATGAACCGTGAGACAAAATAAAGAGTGGAGGCCTAACCGACTGAGCCACCGAGGCATCCCAGGGCAAGTGTTTTCAATGTTGAAGTGCTTGGGGGGTGTAGCTTTTGCAAGTAGTGGGGACATTGGAAAGGAGAGTGAGTCCCTGAACAGGGAGATGCTCTCCTTCCTTTTCAACAGGGTGAACTTCCTGTCAGCAGTATAGCCATGGAAGACAGATGAAGTCACCAGCAAAGAACACTTCGAAGACTCAGGCCTGAGGTGGTAACGTGGAAGTCATTCAGAGTGCTGGTGGCAAGAACTGGGCTTAAGGGGAACACACTCAGGCTGGGGGAGGCAAACACAGGCCAGGTTGGTGGGGGCAGCCCGCAGGAAGTGGGCATAGACCAGGCACCCTGGCCTCTAGCAATTTTAACACGGTCACATCAACTCGCTTTCTTTACTGCTCTGGAAGGTAACCCAAAGCTCCAGGATTCAAAATCTTATGCCACTGCTCAAATATAACAACAACAAAAAACATTCTTTAGCACTTGGAACTTGCTAGTTGATGGCTCTACCGAGAGCCCGGGCAGGAGTGGAGCTGGGACGTACCCTGCCAGATAGGAGGGTGGGGTGGGTGGCTCCCTCAGCCTTCAGTTACCAGAAGAAAATAGGATTCTGCCAAGAACTGAGGCTCCAGGCTACCGCCCTCCTCTGCCTTGGGCCGCAGTCCGCACACAGGCCCCCTGGACCGTCATTAACCCTGGAGTCCTGGACGCCTTGAGTGGGGGTTACAGGCCGCTCCTGAGCAGGGCAGAAGGTGGCAGAGGGAGTAAAATGCCTCCTTCCAGGGGCATAAAAGCAGGCGGGGGCTTCCCATGACCGGGAGAGGAGGAGGGAGGCGGAGAGCCAGGAGGCCCTCTCCCTGCCTCCGGGGAGCTCTACAGGGGAAAAGAGGGACCCGGGAGAGGGGACGCTGGGTAAGGCCTCTCAAGTCGCTGCGGTGGGTGGCGTTGGGACGACAGACGCAGGCTGCCGCGGCCCCTCTCGCGGGTTTGGGGTCCGTCGGCCTCAGCCCCCCTTCGGGGTGGGGTAAGTGTTGCCCGGGCCCAGGCCGAGCAGGGCTGGTGCCCCGCGGCCCAGGACGCGCGCCCAGGTCGCCTGCGGGTGAGGCGGAGGCAGAAGCAGGCTGGAGGCACACGGACTCGTCCCCTCGAGGGCGCCCTTCCTGGGGCCCACGCAGGACTCCGACCTCTGCCCGCGACAGCGTGGACGGGTTCGGCGGCCCTAAACCACCCAAACCTCCACCGGCCAGCGAAGCATTTGCTGCTCCCTCAGGCGACAAAAGACCCCCCAGGCGCGCGGCTCCGGGTACAGCGCCCCCCAGAGCCAAGGCCCTGAGGCTGGCCGCGAGCGCCTCCGCGCCAAGGTCAACGACGGCCCGGCTGTCTGGCGCCTCCCTTTCCTCCTCCCGAGCGCTCAGCTCCATAGGGACTGGGCCGCAGGACCCACACCGTCTCCGATCCGGGTTCCCCACGGCTCGGGGAGCCCAGACACTACCTGGGTACGTGTGCGTCGGGGATACTTCGGGTCACGCACAGATTCGGAGCCGCCCGGGACCAATCACTCAACCACTGGGCGAGCAGCAGGAAGAATGCGCGTTTCAAACCAGCACCGCCCACCCCTGCCGGCCCGACCTTGCCGCCCTGGCTGGAAATTGGGCGGCGCTGGGTCCACAGGCTTGTGCCCTCTCCTTGGCGCTTTGGTACCCCCTGTGACAGTCACGTCCCAGCCCACCTGCTGACGGGCGCCATGCCCTAGATCCACTTGGTGCAGGCTGAGTAATGATGCTCGGGGTGGAGGGGCACGCAGAGGTGTGAGAATTCCATGTCAGCCTGCAGTCCTAATTGGAAGTGGATGTTAAAGATGAGAAATTCAGTTTTGCAAAGTGAAATGTCATGGATTTAGAATCTCAAACCCACCCCTAGCCTTTGGTATTTGACTATCTTTATCCTTGGCAGTGTGTGATTTCCCATGTTTCAAAGAAAGAACTTTAAAGGTTCATAAAGCTCCAAAGATTTCAAATAGCTCTTTTAAAAGCACTTTGATGGTTTAAATGCAGACACATGCATTACATATCCCTTAAATTACACAGGGTTTTAAATCTAAGGGAAAATGTCTTAGGCAAGATGGATTAGAGTTTTGTCTTGTGCAGGTAGTTTTTTAAACAGTGTTGGTAACATTCAGGTTGGTAGGGGGAAGAAAAGAGAAAGGGGACGTCGGGGAAGGATGCTCAGACTTCCCGCCACCTCGTCCCACCGAGGCTCTCAGAGCAGAGTGAAGACACATCCCTGGGGGCCTTCATGTTCCTCCCAGGCCAAGGCAGGGACACGGCCATCCATACTCGGCTCCTGAAGGGCTGTGGATGAGCTCCTCCAGGGAGGCGCGTGTGCCTCCTCATGCCTTCTCCACCCAGATCAGCGATGAATGAATGAATGAATGAGACAAAGAACAAATGGATGTAGCCATCATATCTCCATTCTTGCTACATTTGCAGCTTGCCCATGGCCTAAAGTGATTGATCGTTTCAATCTTCCCAGGTCAGGCCTTCAAGAAACTACTAGCAACCAGAGGCCCTAACCCAGGAGGGAAGGCAGTTTGGCATATGGTGAGCTCAGTCTTTGGAGTCAGGCTGCCCGGACTTGAATTCTTGCTCTGTCACTTCTTATATGGGTTATCTCTTTAATCTTCAGTGTCCTCGCCTATTAAAATGAGATCACAGTGGTCCTTTCGTCACTTGGGTTGTTGTGAGGGTTAACCTAGATACGCGTAAAGCCTACAGCAAAGGGCTTGGCCCACAGGCGCCTTTAAGACTACATCGCGCCGGGTGATGGTGGTGATGGTGGTAATGGCACTACTCATGGCTACATACTAATGATGATGGCGGTGATGCCAGTCGTTCCGCAGGCTCTCTCACCCGCACAGCTATGGCAGCTGGTAGTCCTGCAGGATGGTAGGATTAGCGCTCCCCTCCTCCCAGGCCTGAGAGCTCCATCTGTTGATGAAGTGGATGGTGCAGAAAGGCAGACTCTCCCACCCTGCGTGGGCACGGGGAACTTTGCTGGGGTTTCTACAGCTGCCAAGGAGTCCTTGAACAGCCTTGGCCTTGGGCATGTGCAATGATGGAGAAAAGATGAGAGTTCTTTGAACTATTTCCTAAAGCAATAAACTTGGCAATGCCATTTCCTTAGAACTGAGGGCTTTTGGAAGAGAACTTCCAGGGGTCCCAAGCCTTCCAGAGAGGCAAAAGTATTGGTGAGCAGGTCCTGTGGATGGACCCTGTCTATCCAGACAACTTCCCCTCTCCAGCACTCCCCTGAAGCCCTTTGAGCACACCTCGCCCCTCCCCAGGAGTCCTCGGTCACTCTTCCGTACCCCTGACTTGACAAGATACCTGTTCTTATTTGGTTTGTGTACTTGCTCTAGATTTGTTCATGCATCTGGCTCCTGTGCCCCCCTTCCAGCTGGGATTATAAGGCTCTGGAGGGCAGGATCCCCGATTTGCTTCCTCAAATGTCTCACAAAGCCCTTAGTAGATACCAGAGGGGTGCCCCACATTCAGCATCCCCCCTGTGCCTAGCACCACGAATTACACATCCTGGGCATTGGCTAATGCCAATGAATAGACAGATAGCTGGGGACAGAGGTGAGGGTGCATGTTACGTTCTCAAGGCAAGCTCTGCTCTTGACCTTCCTGACTCAGGTGGCCCCAAACGCTGTGTGCTCGGGGCCATAGTTACATCTAGGTGGGACCATCAGAGGCCACCACGCGAGGTCCCTCTGGAGGTGAGCCACCCAGCCACTCCAAACATATGTCTCATGTCGTGAACAGCCTAAGAGCTCCTGGAGAATTTGCCTCCTCTCGCTCATTAAGAAACTCTTTGTGATTTTTAAGCCATCGGTATTATGAGATTTTTAAAAACAAATTCCTCATCCAGGCAATTCTCATTCCAAACTCAGAAACGCTCCAAATCTCAAAACCCTCCCCATCAGAACGTGCGGTTAAAAGTGCTAACCCTTGATTTTACCAGGTGATCCATTGTGGGTTTGGGGCTGCCGGGGTGGGGACTGAGCTAGAAAATCCCAACAGACCGCCACCATCACCCTAATCTCTCTCCATTACAGAAACGGATGGCAAGACGGGGATTACTGTGCCTATAAATCAGTGTTGTGTTCTGGATAATCTAATACATTTTTCAAGTGTTGTTCTCGCCGTTTGGCATGCATGGAACTGCTCGGTTGGCACAAAGTTCGCAATCAATCTCTCCTGCCTGCTCCCCACGCGGCCTCGCCACCTCCTCGAACCTTCCTAATATTTTATACATAAACCGGTTTGGATTCACGGGGCATTCCAGCTAGTAAATGCTCTGAAGATTCATCTTTATGGACTAGCAGCCCAGCCTTGTAGCGTCTCAGCTTCTCAAGATGAAAAGGAATTTTATTTGGTGTGTTATGCCACGCGGGGAATGGCTGCTGGCGGGTTGCTAGGTTCTATTATTATCGTGTGTGTTCTTCTCCCGGGAGGATGAGGCAAGGCCTCACGGGTGGGGCCCTCAGAAAACTGACAATCCTTATTTCCCCTCTTCTTCCCAGACCCTCCCGACAGTGTGTCAGGGCCCCGAGAGGCTCCCCAGGACCCCAGGGAACGGGGGTGGCGAGTTTTGAGCGATCCAAGTGCATGTCTCCGCTAGCCTGCATCCCTGCACTGGGGGAAGAGGGATGGGGGATCCACTAGATTAAGACAACTGTTGGGGGGAGGGGAACAGCCCCACCAAAGGGAAAGAAAATAGTGCAGTTTCATTTGCTTTAAAGCACAGCCTCGTAATAAATGTGCACAGCAAATGTGCTGAGCAAACACCTCGGCGTTCATCAATATGCGGGGCCTGTTTATTGCCTCATAAACTTGGAAGCAAGTGATATTGTCTCTTAAATCAATGGCTGTGTGGACAGCCTTGGCGCTCCAGGAGAACAGGACATCCAGGCCACGCGGCGCTTAAATTAATGGCTGGAGCAGTGACTGAAAGGTGCTTAGTCACTGCTGGGGGATTAGGAGCCATTTCCAAGGATGCAGAGCATCCTTAGTACGTATCTGTGCCAGGATGACAGGCCAGGGCACCTGGCATGCTGTGGGGGTCTCCTCACCCGTGAGCTGTGCTACAGAAGGCACAGAAGGGGGGCCAATGCCCCAGCCCTGGGGGAGGAGAGAGGGTCTGTTTGTCTGCCTCTCTAGACTGTGGGTCCTCGAGAGCTGGTCTGGGTCCCTCCATTCTGGACCCCCAGCACCTGCATCAGGCCCCAGCTGGAGTAAATACTGGAAGAGGGTGGGAGGGGAGGAAGGCAGGCAGCCAAGTTAAGAAAGGAGACCATGGGAAGCCTGCGATGAGGCTAAATAGAGATGATGAATGGCCTTGCCACGCTGGGAGGCACCGCTTCCGAGGCAGGATGGGGACCAAGACACCTGCCACCGAAGGGGGCTTTGGTGTCTATGAAAAGAGAGACGTTCATCGGGCCCTAATGAAGGGCCAGTGCAGGGGGCATCTTCAAGCAGAGCCAGACTCCCTGTGGTGCCCTGAATGGTGATACCCCAAAAGATAGATGTCCACGTCCTAATCTCTGGCCCCTGTGAATGTGATCTTATTTGGGGAAAAAAGAGTCTTTGCATATATAATTAAGGATCTTGAGAAGATTATCCTGAATTATCTGGGTGGGCCCTAAACCCAAAGACAGGTGTCCCTATGGGAGAGAGGCCGAGGTAGGTCTGAGACAAGACAGGAGATGAAGAACAGAGGAGACAGAGGCGGAGTGATGTGGGGACAAGCCACGGAACACCAGGGATTGTCAGCAGACACCATAAATTAGGGGAGGGATGAACAGATTCCTGCCCCCAGTCCCGAACCTTGATTTCAGACTTCTGGCCTCCAAACCATGAGAGAATACATTTCTGTTATTTTAAGCCACCATGGATATGGTAATTAGGGATAGCAGCCACAGAGGCGAAAGTGTGCCTCCTCCCCAAACTTGGGCTCAGAAAGGCACGTTGTCTTCCAGGCAGGTGCTCCTGCATTCTTGGGGACAACAGGTTCTGGCCAGGAGTGCCCGGACCCACGGGGACGGCCCGGCCTAGCAGAGTGCTGGAAAAACTCAGCGACCCTGCTTTCCTTCCTTGGTCTCAGCAAGTGCTCTTATAGCACCATCCAAAGCACAGGAGGCCTTTTATGCCTGCATTTGTTAACCCATTCAGGTGCTCCAAGACTCCTGCCAGGTAAAAGTCTCAAAGCAGCAATCACCCCTGGAATTTTACTGAGGTCACAATGAGCCTTGGGGACATGGAACGGGAGCCTGTGATGCCAGGCATGTGGCTTGTACCTGGGCCGTATATGTTGCCTCGGGTGGTTTCCTTGTCTAGACCCCAGTCACTTTCAAGTTCCATGTTTATTCTCACCGCCACCCGAGGTAGTTGCATCTGGACTTTTCTCCTTGGTTTTCCCTTCATAGCCCCCCACCACTGACCCAACCCCTTCCACCTGGGAAGAGTGGGCAGCCTCTAAGCCCAAGAAAAGTCATAATTCAGTCATTTTGCAAGTTGGTGAATTAATTGATTGACGTGGTGGAAGTTTATAGGGAGGAAGTTCCCTTGGATAAATTAAAGAAGGTGCCATGGGCAAAAATCTGGTCTTCTCTCAAGAGCCTCCTATGACCTTGATAATTTTCAGTGTGGTTTAAAGTTAAACTGTCTACCTTAAAGGATCAGAAGTCCCAAAGCATTCACACCCAGAGACAAAGTCCTTCCTCTCACAAGGGGCTCACGGGAGACTGTTATGGGCTCCAGAATGACAATTTATTAATCTACAGTGAGAAACAGGCTCAACTATGTGACATTGCCAATATTCAAATGCTTTCGAACTACAGGAGTGGCAATTTCATATGATCCAACATTAATACCACCATGGGGATCTGAAATACTCAGATCTGTATGCCCACAATTGTCCCCTGCAGGCCCCCTATGTGGGAAGCCCAATTATAATCAAAGAGGTACTTGGTGAGCAATGAACCGGAGCAAGGATTCTGGGGCTCGATGGTGAGAAACAAAAAAGCAGGCCCTGGCAGCTGTCAGCTGGGAGCCGGCCTGGTACTCACAGCTAGGCCATGGTGTTCTTTTGTTGAACAAACACAATTTCACTGAACACCAACATCGAACAAGGTCACTCTGTGACCGGGATGGGAAGAGACAAAAACAAGGCCACTCCTGTAATCATGTCTGAACACAGACAAAAAAACCCAAGCATACTGTTTAAACCACAAAATGACCGCCTGTGCCTCCTTCCCACCTGGTGTGAATGACAGCCACTTTGCCAATTACAGCCCCAGCCTCACTCATTCATCCACCTCCTAGATAAAATTAGTGATGCCCAGTCCTACCCAATTTCAACGTTCTGATACCCCATCCAAAGCGACAGCCTCCAACATCACCTAGTGCGAGCTGAAATCCTATAAAATGGTCCCTCCACCACCTCCTTACCAAGATACCCCAAGATTCCCCATAGTGTGCAGTCTCCCTGGAGGCAACAAGTACCAAGAAACCCAACTTTGTTCAACTACCTGTGTGTTCCTGGCGTCTTTGGAGAGTGGGCATTGATCATGGCATGAGATTTTGCCAACCAGACCTAGCCAACTCTGCATCAAGGATAGGCCCACCACGACCACCACGACCACCATAATCACTTTGACCATTATTATGACCACCATCACCATCACCATAATCACTTCCACCATTACTATAGTCACCACCCCCATAATCACTACCACCATCATCACCACCCCAGTCACCACCACCACCCTGCTAAGTGATTGATATACATTTTATCATTTTATCCTTCTTCAACTCTGTAGGGTAATTATAGTTATCTCCATTTTCCCAGGTAAAGCTATTGTGACTCAGAGAGACTCAGAGAGACTCAAGATCACACAGCTAGGAAATGGCAGAGCAGGGGTTTGAAACCCAGTCAGCCAGGGATACTCTACTGATTCTCACAATGCAGAATACTGCAGTGCTCAGCCCAGAGGTATCCTGTGACCTCCTCAGTCTCCCCTGTGCCCCCCAGCTCCTCCTCCTGAACTTGGATATGAGCTGCCAGCAGCCGCTTTCGTCACTCTCCCTGTGCAATCCTAGCTGACCCCCATCTGACTAGCCCACTGTTATGTTTCTTTAAGGTGGTTGTGCACACGTTTGCTGTGGTCTCTTCTCCTTTTTTAAGTAGGCTCCATGCCCAATGTGGGGCTTGAACTCACGACCCTGAGATCAAGAGTCAGATGCTCTACCAACTAAGCCACCCAGGCACCCCTGCTCTGGTCTCTTCTGTGTGGATTTCATAGTTTAACTTTTACAGGGAGATCCTATTTCCTTCTTATCCAAGCTCCTGAATCTATCTCCCTGTTGCCTCCATGTGCCAAATGCAGTGAACACATAAATTCTTTCCAGAGCCAAGAATAGAAACTAAGATTTATGAGTCCCCATCTATTACTGTAACCAGCAGGATCACTTACTCCCCATATCCTTTATTTCATGACCATATTTTTCTTCATAAATTGCACCTTTTTAAGATGTTACATAAAGAGGCCCAATTCAAAGTTTTAAATTCAAATTATTTGGGCTGAGAACATACTAGGCATCTGAACTACGGATGGAAAATACCCTTTTTACATGCTTGAATAAGTCCAAAACAGCTTAAAGGATTTCTTCAATTTAAAAAAAAAATAATTCACTTCTGGACTGAGGAAAAAAATACGATAAATTTCTACACAAAGGCAATGCCTTGAGAGAGAAATAGCTTAGGTGGCTGTGAAAATCAAGGGCTTTGTAGGGAATGCAACCCAGTCTACAAGCAAAGCTTCCTCAGGCTCATAATGTAGATGTCAAGGGTGTTTTCCAGAGGACAGGGCTCAGGTGGATTTAGGGGCTATCTGAATTCTGAGATTTCTTCTTCAGATGTATGTGTTAGTTACAGAGGGGGGTTAAAGACCCACCGGGGACAAAGACTAGAAGCTGTAATTGGTCTTACCATACAGTGTTGTAAGTTCTTTTTGATGCTATTGAATGTGAAATAGGGACTTCTTAGGACAAGAGGAGTCTCAACTTGGCACAATTCACAGGCCTTGCAGCAAACCCTCACAGGCCTTGCAGCAAACCCCCACACGCCATGGGGAATCCCCCCTTATCTTTCTGGTAAGGTGTTCTGTGGTCCAGAAGCAGCTTCCCAAAATCTGTAAAAGACCCTTCTCTTGCGCTGATGGCGGCCGGCTTACACAGCACCATGCGCAGAGCACTCTCCGGGCCCAGGCACGAAACCGCAGCCCAGCGTTTGCTGTCTGCGGCCCTGGCGGGCCTGCCGTGGTACCGCGCCCCAGCCACGCTGCCCAGAGAGGGACCCTGCTCTCCAGGCTCTGGGGCCCCTCCGGGCTCACAGAGGAGTCACTCTGCCTGCAAACTACCACACAGCAAGGGACGCCATGCCTTTGTCTTTCTTGAGAAAAACCTTGAAACTATACTGGAGGCCTCCGGAATAGTGTGAGTACCCAGTGACTTTGCTTTCCTTAGTGCATCATTTCTAAAAGAGAAAAAAGAATTGTGAAGACTCCATAGAAACTTGCCTCATCTACTTTGCTCCCAGACGACCCCCTCCCGTGCAACAAAATGCAAAAACAAACAACAAAACCCAACAACCCCATCTCCCTAAAGACCTTGGCAGCTGCCAGCAAAGGAGGACAGACATGCTGTCCATGGATGTCCAAGAGGTGACATTCTGTTGTTTTAGTTTTAATATCTCACAATGGTGATTGCAGCCAGAAACAAGAGCATTCCAAGGCTCCCTGTCTTACCGCCTCCTGCTTGGCCCTTTGGTGCATGGGATTAGTGTCACCCCTGCTATGGGGTCCAGTACCCCCGTAGAGTGGCAGATCGTCAGCAAGGATCTGCATTTTCTACAAACTGTCAGACCCTCCAAGCCCTGGGCTGGTGAGTGCAAGTGGGTCCCTCCACCCGGTGCACCCCGCACCTACCTGCACCCTGCAGCCTCTGGCTCCCCTTGCCCCCTAAGCACCACCCCTCCAGCCCAGCCCCTGCTGGCCTATAGCAGACTCATCCCAGCAGGCAGGAGGAGCCCTGGGGGGGGGGGGGGCATCTGCTACCAACCCCACCCCCACCCCTGCCCCAGGCTTAGGGGCTCCTCTCTACAGGCACCAGCAGCACCCTTTGAACATCCGGCCATCCGGAGTGGCAGGGCCAAGACAACACAGCCACAGCAGCATCAGAAATACATGGATTTTTGGTACAGCCACGAGCCCCATCCAATTAAAAATATTCACTGGCATGTTCCAAGTCTTTATTCCTGCCAAGTGAGTTGACTGCCGCTCGCACAGAACAATGCTATTTGTCAAACATGACCTCATTTTCAGAACTGATCAGAGAAGTTTTGAAGCACAACCTTCCCCCATTACTAGAAGGTCTAGAGGTTTTCCGGGGTGATCTTACTCCACAGTTAGGCCTCTTTCCTTGTCTGGGGACTGGAGCTGTGGGAGTTTAGGTTTTAAGTTCTCTATTTAGGGTTAGTGAAACAGGCCAGGCTGCTGAAGAAGAGACAGGCAGGGGGAGAGAGAGAGATGGCATGTGTTATTCCTGCCTGGGAAGTATTTGGAAACTGCTGGTGGGGTGGGGGTGGTGGGCCGATGCTGTAGCCATTAGAAATTACAGAGCAGGGGTGCTTGGGTGGCTCAGTTGGTTCAGCATCTGACTCTTGGTTTCAGATCAGGGCATGATCTCACGGCTTTGTGGGTTCCAGCCCTGCATCAGGCTCTGAACTGGCAGTGCAGAGCCTCCTTGGGATTCTCTCTCTCTCACCCTCTCTCTCTGCCCCCCCCCCCCCCACTTGCACTGTATCTGCCTCCCTCAAACTAAATAAATAAACTTAAAAAAATAGGGGCACCTGGGTGGCTCAGTCAGTTAAGTGTCCGACTTCTGCTCAGGTCATGATCCCACAGTCTGTGAGTTCAAGCCAGCATTGGGCTCTGTGCTGACAGCTCAGAGCCTGGACCCTGCTTCAGATTTTCTCTCTCTCTCTCTCTCTCTCTCTCAAAAATAAACATTAAGAAAAATTTAAAGTAAATAAAAATAAATATAGTACTTGTGTATAGTTTGAAAAAATTAAAAAAAGAGAGAAATTACAGAGCAAACCATGAACACATATCTCTTACCATTACATAAAAGATGAAAGACAAAATAGGAGGGAAGTAAGTCAAGTACATGCCCCAAGAGGACCCATATATGTACATCCAAGAGACCAGTCTCTTGGTGGAAGCAGTAAATGGAAGGGAAAAGACAGGGACTGATATCAGACTAACCTGAGTTTCAATCCTGGCTCTGCCACTTAGGAGTTGTGTGACCTTAGGCAAATTACTTAACTTTTCTGAAGGCCAGTTGAATCATCTCTAAAATCTTGCTATTCATACCTTCCTTCAGAAACTCAATGGCATTATCATTTATAAAACCTCTCTAGCAGGAGGTAAATACTACCGCCTAGCCTAAGAGTAGGTGGGGGCACCTGAGTGGCTCAGTTGGTTAGCATCTGACCTCAGCTCAGGTCGTGATCTCCCAGTTCATGAGTTCAAGCCCCACATCAGGGTCTGAGCTGACAGCTTGGAGCCTGGAAACTGCTTCCGATTCTGTGTCTCCCTCTCTCTCTGTGCCCCTCCCCTGCTAGTGCTATCTCTCTCTGTCTCTCAAAAATGAATAAATGTTAGAAAAGACTTTTTTTAAATAAGAGTAGGTAAATATTGGCAAATAGTACGTATTGATGAACAACTTTCTGCAACTTTTGGCAATCTTCCTAAGGTCTCCGTGCACAAGTCTGGAAGTTTATCAAGAGTCTGTATTTAACTTTTTCCATTCTGGTTGAGGATAACAGAAAAAGAAATTATATAAAAAAAGAAAGAGAAAGAAAGGAGAAAGAAAGAAAGAAAGAAAGAAGAAAGAGAAATACACTGAGAAATCCCACCTTTCTTCCTAGAGATATTCTTTATGTTTCCAAACTTTTCAAACATTTTTTATCCCAGATATCTGATACAGAGGTGCCAGATGGGAGGGGGTGGGGAGTAATCTGTATGTTGACCCAGGACACTGAGCTGTAGGTCCCTGACATCAAATTAACCATTATTTTGTCATATTGCACTCTTCCAAAATAACTTTTTCTAGAAAGTAACCCAATTATTTCTGACTTATATTTGCAGTTCCATTGTTCTGCACCCTCACCAGAACTAGGTATGGTCAGTCTTTTCAATTTAGCCATTCTTTTTGTTTTGGGTTTTTTTTTTGTTTTTTGTTTTTTTGAGAGAGCGAGAATGAGAGTTCGAGTGTGAGTGAGGAAGAAGGAACAGGGAGAGAATCCCAAGCAGGCTCCACAGTCAGTGCAGAGCCTGACATGGGGCTTGATCCCTGGACCCTGGGATCAGCCCAACCGACTGAACCACCCAGGTGCCCCTAATTTAGCCATTTTAGTAGGTGTGTAGTAGTATCTTATCAAGGTTTTCATTTATATTTCCCTAGTGATGAATTTTTTCAGCACCTTTCCTGTGTATCTTCTTTGGCGTTTTCTGACAATTTGGTAAATTGTCTGTTCAGATCTTCTGTCTAGTTTTTAATTGTGTTATTTTCTTTGTTGTGGAGTTTTGAGTGTTAAAAAAAAATACAATCTGGGTATAAGTCCTTTATCAGATAGGTATTGTTCAAATATTTTCTCCCAGTCTTGGTGTGACTTTTTCATTCTATTTTCTTTTGAAGAGCAAAAGTTTTCCATCTTGACGAAATCCAATTTATCACCTTGATTCCCTCTTATGCGAGTCCTGCATTTGGTATTGTAGCTAAGAAATCTTTGCCTAAACCAAAGTCACACAACTTTTTCCTATGTTTTCTTCTACAAGTTTTACAGTGTTCTTCTACACGCATTGAGGTGTGTGGTCCATTTTAAGATAAACTTTGTATACGGTGTGAGGTTTGGATGGAAGTTCATGTTTCGCAGATGGATATCCAGGTGTCCCAGCATCATTTATTGAAAATACCATCCTTTCCCCCCATTGAGATGCCTTTGCACCTTTGCTGAAAATCAACTGACCATCTATGTGTGGGTCTATTCTGGAGAGCATCTCGATTTTCACCATATAGTCCTGTATTGAAATTCTCAGCTGCCACGATGCCCAGACAGGATCCTCTCTCACTCCACGAGTGCTGCTCACTGGTGGGTCCCCACCACAGGCAGCACTGACGGCTCTTCTACAGCCTCGAAGCTTCTTGAGCCTCGCCCTAGTGGGGCTGGCTGCAGAAGCATGCACAGATCTCCCAGAGGTCGGGGAGGGGGGCCCACCACATTTTCCAAGAGTGCACGCCCCCCTCTGGAACATAGTACTGGGTACCCAAGAGGCTCTGAAGCCCTGGCCAAGCTGGAGGACCCAGGGCTCCCCCACATCCTCTCACCCTCCACCCTAGCACACGACCTCCCCCCTCGTCTTCTCTTCATTCCAGTCAGGCCGGAGAACCTTCAAGAGACATATTGATTAGAAGTCCTGTCTGCCTTACAAAAACACGGGAGGTTAACTCCTCCGGCAGAGCCCATCTTGGCCGCCTGTCTTCTTGCAGCTGCCTGGGGAGGGCTGTACTGAGAGAGAGGAACATCAGAGGAATCGCTCGCTTATTTCCCCAGCAGTTAGGAATTAGATGAAGTCATAACCAGGTCTACACTTGGCAGAGCACCTGGACACAATAGTATGCTTAATGAAATGATTAAATGTCTCCGCAGCGGAGCCCCATTTCATTTATGTAACTTTTATTGACCTGTAATGAAGGTCTGCCAAAATACTAGCACAGCATGGAGGGGCACAAGCGAGGCATCCACCAGCAGGCAGGGTCTAGACTGACCTTGTGGTCCCTCCTCTTTCCCCAAGCTGGAGAACTCCTGCCATTGTCCTCAGTCTTTCATCCACATCTCCTGTAGACAACTGAATGGGTACCCCGACCTGGAAAAAATCACAATAAAAATGTTACCCTTTTCAAAGTAAACTGGCCCTGGCCAGGCAGGAACGCAGAGGGCTGTGTCCTTAACTTTCCCACCTCTCTCAAGGAGGAGGCACTGCCTTCAGGACATTCAGGTGGCTGAAAACCATGTGGTGAGTATCCAGAGACATCCCTCAAGGTGGCCCACCAAAAAGAAATTCTTAAAAGGGTGAGTTTTAATGGTAAGATTCATTTGAGGAGCTCATTCATCCTATCCCTTCTGCAAGGTCCACAAAGCACCTTATCACATTAAGGGCTTTGAGAAGCCCTTCTGCAAATTCACCCAGAAATTTCCTAAACTTACGTTAAGAACACCTTTTTTTCCCCCCGCCAAACATCTGTTAACACCAGGGAACTTGGTTGAGAAATGATGTTCCCCCCCAAATGCCATAAGATGTTCTGATAAAAAGTGTCTGTCGCTTTATTCTATTCAGCTTAGAATCAGTGAAGGGTGAAGACAATGAGGAATTTGGGGTTTCCCCGGGCTCCCTGCCTGCTTCTCTCTGGCACCCAGCTTGGGATGTGGGAAAGAAGCGATGACATCTTCCTGCCACACTGGTATGTGTGTGTTTGGGGAGCGGGGGAGGGGGGGATTGCAGAATCCCCAGCCAGAGCTCTGCCACTGACTAGTTGATTAAGACTGCCTGAAACGCCTAGATCAGGAGTCCACCTCCCCAAAGTTAGCACGTATTGACCTCTGATGACACAGTCCGTTTCTAGCACATAGTTGTCTCTTCTTTCCTCTCGTGCTAGTTTGCCACAGATTTATTTTCTCCAAATATCACAACTGAATTAAAAACATTTTTTCTCCCCCCCCCCCCCCCACAACACTTCTGTACCACATCCCTCCCCTTCTCCAAAGTCACCTCTGGGACTAGAGGGCCAGCTGCGGAAAACTCCCAATCTGTCTTTTAAGGGGTGTCAGCCACTTTTAAGTGGCTACCCCTCCTCAGCTTAGTGCCTCCGCCGCCACTAACGTGGAATTAGATTAAGCGCCGGCTGTCCCCCTGTCCCCGTGAAAAGCTCTCCACACAGTCAGGCAGCGGAGAAACCACCGAGTCAGCAGCTCAGACTCCTCCCCCACCCCCGTCTCCCTCGGCTCCGGGCACTGGGTTGTCATCTGGAGCGAGTGCACTCATTCTAATTCTTTATGCCTTGTTATTCTGTCAATTTCTTAATCTATTTATGCTGACTTTATTTTTAGTGTGCCTATTGTGACAGCAAATCCTGAAATTGCCTTGGTTGTTTTCTGAAAATGGCCGTTACCAAACCATAATGCAGACCCCGACTAAAATAATGTGAGCCCCAGGCGGTTTCTGGCGCCCACAGCAGCTGTCTACTTTTAGAGCTGCATATCAATTCTCCCCTCAGAGGGGCTGGCCCGGGAGGCGGCTAGGAAAGCAACGTGGTGTCGTATTTAGATGAGCGTCTCTGGGTCTCGCTGAAAATGCTCGCTGCCTCCCCTTTTGGAGAATTTCTTCAAACATTAATAAATTCCCTCCCCTCTCCCTATCTTTTGTTGGCAAACTATAAAAAATGCAAATGATCCAGAAACCAATTAATTTTTAGAAGGTTGCAGCTGTTTTGCTGTATTCACAAGACATGGTGGGCACATTTAGGGTGTGTGTCTGCGAAAGCACACACATGTGGAAGGCATCCGACCGCTCATCACAGACGCATCAGATCTCCAGATATGAGCCATCATTCAGCCTCGTCAATGCCAACACATGCGTTTCAAAGCGCATTCCACTCCCAGAGAATCAGGAGTTGCTAAGGGGCACACAGAGGCCAGAAGGCGGCCACAAGATAGATACCCAGTCACGATAATGCGTCACCTCCTGGGACCAAGGAAACGCTCTCTCTCTTCTGGTGCTTCTCCAAATGTCAAAATAGTATCCCTGGAGGAGAACACCGTCAATATTCCTCTGCCTCCCGTTACATCACCCCATGGCGGTCACGGCCCACCTAGCAGCCACTGCCCATCTCTCGTCTCACTTTGCTGGGAGCGGTTGGATTTGGTTGAGGTAGAGGGATAGTGGTTCCATTTTGTCAACCTCCCAAGGCACCACCGTGCTTGATCTAAGCACAACACTGTGATCCCACGATGCTCGGAGACCGGGCATGTGACCCAGTTGTAGCCAATGAGACACAGGGCAAGCCTGCTGATGGGGTTTTGGAGGCTCCTGATGTCAAGCTACTCTGGCGAAGTCAAGTAAGGAAAATGCCGTTGTGCACGTCTGCCACTTTCCTGTCCCAAAGAACACTTCTGTGTGCTGATGTGATGGCCGTGGCTTGCTGGTGTCTCATGACCACGAGGTGGAAGGCCTAGGATGGTGGAGCGGAAGCCGTCCAGCACCTGTGCCCATCCTGGGCCAGCAGATCTCCGGACTCCTGGCCGTGTGAGATAATTACCTCTCTTCATTGCTCAGCTACTGTTTGTCAGGTGCTTTGTTACTTGTGGGCAAAAGCATTCCTGATTGATACAAGGCTCTCCGGGTCGGAAGAGACGTACGGCTATGTCATCTAGAATCACTGCCACGGGCTGCTTGGCTTCCTGCTCTGATACGTCCATGGGGTGATCTTCTAAATTGTGCTCCAACAAGCAAAGAAGAGAACCTGTGCTCTCCTGGAGCACCCGGGCTGCACCGGCACCTCTGCTGGGAAGTCTTCGTCCTGTGAGAAGCCACTCCCCTAGTGTTCTGGAGAGAGTGGCGCCGGAGAGAGAGGCATGGGGGCTGCTCCCACAAGCGATGCTGGGGCAGGGGCTGAGCCCCCTGTGAAGAGCAGAGGGATGTCAGGCTTATTGAGCTATAATTCACATACCACACAACTCACCCCTTTAAATGCACAATTCAGTGTTTTTTTTAGTTTATTCATAGATGTGTGCACCCATCGCAAGCCAATTTTAGACCATTTTCATCACTTGCAAAGAAACCCTGTGCCCTTTAGCTATTGCTCCTCTGCTCACCAACCCCCTACCCTCCCCCTGCCCTGAGCAACCACTAATCTTTCTGTCTCTAGAGTCCTCTATTCTGGACATTTCATAAAATGGAATCACATAGTACGTGGTCTTTGTGAATGGCTTCTTTCACTCAACGTAATGTTTTCAAGGTTCATCTACATTACAACATGTATTAGTACTTCATTTCTTTTTATGGCCAAAAAATATTCCATTGCGTAGATATTCGGCCTTGTTATTTTTTGGTAATTACATTCTATAACGTCATCACAATCATTGAATTAGCAAATACCGCACCATTGCTGCTAGGGGAAATACAGGGTTAGGTTTCCGAAAGCCACTGGTCAGAACATTTTCCTCAATCAACACACAACCTTGGGGCGCCTGGTGGCTCGGTCGGTTAAGCATCCAACTTCGGCTCAGGTCATGATTCGCGGTTCGTGAGTTCAAGCCCCATGTCGGGCGCTGTGCTGACAGCTCGGAGCCTCGAGCCTGCTTCAGATTCTGTGTCTCCCTCTTCTCTGTCCCTCCCACGATTTCTCTCTCTCTCTTACACACAAAAAAATAAATAAAAATTAAAAAATTAAAAAAACCCCACAACCTTGATGTACATGAATTTCTGCTTAAAGACACAGTATTTAATATATATTATTGGTTTGTTAACATTGAACTCACAGTCAACGGCACTATAACTGCTATCTGAATGAGTGGGGATGGGGATAGGGGAAGGAGAGCTGCCCGAAAGAACTCTTAGGATTAGACACACCTGTATCAACCCAAAATTGGCCCTAACTAGGATGACCAAGTGCTCTGGTCCTTGGACACCCCTCAGGGTTTCCCAGGAGGTGGGACTTTCATGGCTACAACTAGAGAGTCTGGGCAAACTGGGATGGTCGATTCACCCCACCTGCTTCCCTAGGTCTGTGCATCCACAGATTTGACTCCTACCCTTTGGAGTGACACAAAGATGATCTTCTCCTTCGTGAGAAGACCCTTCCATTGTTTGAAGACACGTCTTGTTTTCTCCCAAGTTTTCTCAGACTTGACATCCTGAGTTTCTTGGACCTTCTTCACACTGGGCAGAGTGACAGGAGTCACTGGCTGATGACAGAGTTCTCTTCTTCTGGCCTCATTGGCCAGACTGCACTTCCCACCCTCTCTTGAAGGTCGGTGTGGCCCTGGGATGAATGTGAGTGCAGGCCATGTGGTCATTTCCAGACCTGGCTTTCACAAACCTTCCACTCACAGGCCCCACGTTCCTTCAGCACGAAGGGAGGCACCCACCCCGCTGCTGGAGGAGGGCTGCTCCCCAGTTAGAAGCATCACTTAGTGAGCAAGTAATAAGCTGTTGTGTTCCGTCTCTATGGCAAGCGCGTTATCTGCCACTGCGGTGAGCCTCACTTTGATTCGCATGCTTTCAAGCTCCTGCATTACCATGTCCCTCTCTGCACATGTTCCTGCCTGACTGGACTCTTTTTACAGGGGGCACCCCAAATCTGTCCATGTGTGATCCGTCTGTCTAGGGCAAAGGTTGATGCTCTCCCTCTTCTGATCACCCATATCTAGGGGCACAGAGTGAAATTACATAAGCTTTTTTGGGAGGGGAGCCCACCCTGTGGCTGACCTCTGTTTAACTTGCTATCGAACACTTCCTCCCCATACCACTTCGAGACACTGGGGACGCAACGATCAGCTTAACCATTAAATTCACCCATCATCATGACTTAGTGAGATATTCTGGATGCTATTCTGCTCACTGGTGCATTTACTCCTCCTGTCCCCCAGTGCCCCACCCCCCTGTTACAACCAGGGTAGCTGTGGTAACAGCCAATACCCAGATGGTAAATTCTAGATGCTTCATAAGTCCCAACTCTTAACACTCTTAACAATTCTTTTTTTTTTAATTGTTTTAATGTTTACTTATTATTGAGAGACAGAGAGAGAGATAGAACATGAGCTTGGGAGGGGCAGAGACAGGAGGAGACACAGAATCGGAAGCAGGCTCCAGGCTCTGAGCTGTCAGCACAGAGCCCGACGCGGGGCTCGAACTCACAAACTGCGCGATCATGACCCAAGCCGAAGTCGGACACTTAACAGACTGAGCCACCCAGGCACCCCACCACTCAGCAATTCTAAAGGCAAAACTACTATGATCCCCATTATATAGCTGAGTAAACTGAGGCACAGAGAGGTTAAATAACCTGCCCCAGGACATTTAGCTAGCAACAGAGTTGGCTTTCATTCACCCCAGCAGTACAGTGTCAGCCCAGATTCTTAACTGTTAGGTTAATATGTTTTCTATGCCCCGGTCGTGTCTGAATCCATGTGTTACACAAACACGGAACAAGAAAGTGCCAAGGGCACCGGGGACCCTCCCCTGGACAGCCCTTTGAACCAACAACACTCATCTGCTTCTGGGACACGTTTTAGGTTTAGCTGTTCAACTAGTTGCTCAGCCCTTGGATGAGGGCTCCATGTTGCCTCCAGCCTGTGTGTCCCCATTTTAGTCACAGGGATGTCATAGGAGATGGGGATCTGTGCCCAGAAAAAAGGAGAATGGGCTCAGAGTTCTGCAAGTTTGAGGCCCTCTGGACACAGCCGCCCAGAGTCCTTATGGACTTTCTGCCAAAGCTCAAGGGTATGACCTTGATGATGCAGGAAATAAAACAGAAAGAGCTTGCCCTCCTGGGACCAGGGGTGTTGAAAGAGGCCAGACTCAGAACTATAAAGGCAGAACAGGAGCAGCCCTGAAAGCCTGGCCATTATTCTGTGTCAGACTGAAGAGAAGTATTGAGAATGCATGCTTATAATCTAACAGTATAAGGTGAGGACTCAGATATGTATACCCTAGTAGAAGGATCGTTCTTGCCCTCTAAATCGCTTACTGATGGCATTCTATGCTGAGGACCAGCACAGCCAGATGGCACAGAGCGATCGCTTTCCAGCTTTATGCAAAGTAACTGGCTAAGCATTATACCAAAAAAGTATCATCCACAAGCTTGACCCTTGTCAAAGTTATTTTCTTATTACTCTACGGCTTGAGTGGTGGACAAAGAGGAAAGGAAACTGAGAACTTGTTTCTCCAGTGGTGGCAGCAGAGGCTGCCAGTGGCAAGATGGCAGGCTGGTTACACAGTATGTCCTGGGTCCGCGGCCACACGCAGCTCACGTTGGTTCCCATGGGCAGTAAGGACTGCCTTCAGCAAGCAAAGGCTGAGGCTGGGATTGAAAGAGGTTCCAGAGCTGGAGGATCCGTGGTAAAGCTCTCCTAGAAGCTTCCTGTCCTTTCGGCTCGTTCCGACCTATTGAGCCACCAGCAAGGCAGCCACAGGCCTGGAGTCTGGCCGGAGGGACGAGGAACCTACTTCAGGGATGGGCAGGGAGTGTCTGAGTTTCTACCAGTTCAAGCACGGCCTTCAGTAACTGACAGGTTGCAAACAACTGCAATCCTGCTAAAGAGCCTGGAAATTCAGCTAATTCACTCTGCGTGTTCTGTCCTGGGGTCTGTGAAGATGACAGCAGGGCTGGTCCCTTCTGAGGGTTGTGGAGGAAAGCCTGCTCCAGGCCTATCTCCTTGGCGAGGAAATGGCCCGGCTCCCGTTCACGTCATGTTCTCCCTGTGTGTCTGTGTCCAAATTTCCCCTTTTTATAAGGACAGTGTCATTTTGGATTAGGGACCTTCCTACTGAACTCATTTCAATGCAATCACCTCTTTAAAGGACCAGTCTCCAAATGTGGTCACATTCTGGGGGACAACGGCTTAGGGCTTCAACATCTGAATTTTGGGGTGACACATAATTCAACCCCCAACACTCCTTTCCCCACCTCAAGTTTCTCTTACCATTTTCTTTCTCTCTTTTTTTTTTTTTTTTTTTTTTTTTTGCCTTCTTTACTTTAAAGCATTTGTTAGTACCCGCAGTCATTTCATTTATTTGTTTGGAAAGTATCTTTCCCACTTGAATGGAACATCCCTGAGCATTTTCTCCCCTGGGGACCTACCACACTTGCGGACTATGTGAATCTGGCTTTCACCTGTGCCTCTTGGTGGCCCACTCCCCCTTCTAGTGACAGCGGCACTATCCTCAGCTGCAGAGGGCTCCAGGAAACCCACAGGGGACAGAGAGGAGAGACTTAAACCTGCCCCAGAAGGCCTAGGAGGTGACAGAAGGATGACAGCCTTTCTTTCTCCTTGTTATCACCTCATTATTTTCCAGGTCTTGGCCTCCTTCCAGAAATAACAAGATGGAAAGTCCATCACACAGCTCATTTTAATTCACATTTCTCTGTGATGCCTCAGATTATTTATTTTCCATAATAATACCATTAATTTTTTTTGAAGAGTTATCTTCTGTGTGGTAAACACAGGGGCAGGTAAATGCCATTAGAGCCACTCGGGCCTGGGTCAGCTGCCGTGGAATTGGCCTGAGATGAAGAGGTGCTGCTACCTGGGTTGCAAGCCTGAGGCTTTCTGAAGCACCAAGGTCTCTCTAGAAGGAAGTTCTCCTTCGGTGGAGGAGTCAGGAGCTCAGGAGTGGCCCTGAGAAGCCAGGGTTCTAAGTAGTGCCTCACAAAATTACCATCACCACATCACCACCACCACCACCACCATCATCAACGTCACCAAACCATCACCACCACCATGATCACCATCGTCGTCACCGTCATCCTCACCACCATCACCACCACCATCATCAGCGTCACCAAACCATCATCACCACGACTGCATTTACCAAGTGTCTACTCTCTACCAGGTCCTCTGTTAAGTGCTTGGCCCACAAGATCTTCTAAAAATAGCACCCAAAGGCCAAAACACTTCTTGTGTCAAAGATGTGGTAAACGATACGAGTCATGAAAACATAGGCGCTCACCGAGCACAGAGGATCTTCACCACCACACACGTAGCCAATAACCAGAACCTCATGCCACCTCATAAGCGTCTACAGGGGCAGCTGGGCAGCTCTGCTCACCTCAGTTGGCCTCGAGCAGCGTCCGCGCTTGGCCTGGAGTCCCTGTTCTAGGCTGGGCGTGGCTGGAAGCCTCAGCTTCTCCCTGCGGAGCTCAGGGATGACTCCACTCCAGGTGTGTGCATTCTGGGCCCAGCTCAAGGGGCGGCAGCTGCTCCGAGGAAGCCTTTCCTCGTGGTGATGGCCAAAGTGCAAGACATCGATGGGAACAGACGCGTTCTCCCCAGAACCATCACGTGGGACTCTCGCCAGATGTCCGCTGGCCTAAGTGAGTCACGTGGGCAAGCCTAGAGCCAGTGGAGCAGGGATGCCTAGCTCGTCGTCGTGTGTCACCGAGGACCTTGGTGGTCTGTGATGCTGTGTGACAACGACACCTCACACCCCCTTCCTTCCTCTTCCATGCGGTGGAGGTGTCTCCCTCTCCTGCTCCTGGACGGTGAAGCCAGGTCAGGGTGAGGACATGGTGAAGAGCAGGGGCCAGCAGGGCGGGTGAGACGGTGGACGGCAGAGGCCCAGGCAGGGCCGTGGAGCAGCCCAGGTGCCACGAGACTGTCTAGTAAGGACTCGATTTCTGTTTCTGTCAGCTGCCAGCTTTGTGACCTCAGACAAGCCCGTCAACCTCTCTGAGCTCCAGTGACCGCGCTTGTATGTAAAATCAGGGTAATAATGGCCCAGAGGCGAGGCTAAGAATTAGCATGTGTAAGTCCCCAGTCTCTTCGCTGCTTCTGGGCGGCAGGGGGACTTGGGTGGAAGTGTAACCAGACGTGATTCTCACTAAAGAGCTGGTCACCAGAGAGGGTCAAGCAAAGAGCGTGCAAACGAGGAAGAGAGGAAAATGCCCCAGGCGAGCCGGGGCAAAACCAAAGGAGGACTTGACTCCGCAGAAGCCCGGGAGGTGTTTTCAGCATTTATAGAATCAGGGAGCAGCGAGGATGCTTCTGGCATCGGGCACAGAAAACGGTGCCACGTGTTATTTCACACCAGGCGGCTGAAGGTAGGGTGGCACCAGCTTCGGCCCATGGGGCTCCGGGTCCCCGTCGAGCTGGACATCCAGACACAGTCTCGAGAGGACGGCGTCTCTCAGGGTGTCTCCGGAGCGAGCGAGCCAGGAACGTGGCCCAGGCTGCACGCGGGGCCCACTTCCAACCAATCACCGTCAGGGAGCTCAGCTTGCTCTTGGGCTTGGGCCAATCAGGACGCCGCCCTGGCGCTGGGAGGCGGGGGGGTCTGTCCGGGAGGGGAGGAAGCGGGCGGTGTTGCCAGGGCCCAGAGGCAGAGTAACACTGCCCAGGGGTCCCGGAGCCGGAGGAGGTGTGGCTGCGGTTGTGTGCGCGCCGCGGCTGGGGCGCAGTGCACGCAGGGGCTGCAGGCCCCGCCGCGAGTCATTCAGAAGGATCTAAAACCCACCGAGGCCTCCCAGTAACTGGAATCACGGGGAGCCCAGCACCGGGCGCAGGTGACACTGGGCTGCAGCGCTGGGTGGGGGGCGCGGGCCACGGGTCCCACCGATCGCTGCGGGGCAGGGGAAGCGGGGTTCCGCCAGCCCAGCCGACGGGTGGAAGGGTGGTCTTGGGACCTGCAACTTCCCACGACTGGCTGGCCAGTGGGGGCGCTCAGCGTTGGCACCCGGGAGATTGGGGAATTGTGTGCCTCCCACGCACCGCTTCTCGCGGTCAACGTCGGAAAGCAAGTTCCCGCGGGAGGGCCGGGTTTCCTGGACACCGTCTTCCTGGGGCCTCAGGGGGAGTGGAGGTGTTGCACGAGCGGCCGCTGACCCCTGGGTCCAAGTCTAAGTTCCCAAAGCTGTGGGTGCAACTGGGTTTCCCAGCTTCCTGGGGGAGAGTTTTCAGGATGTGAGCAAAATCACAAAGGGGACTGTGGGTCCTAAGTATCCTGATCCTTGAGCTGTGGCTCTCTGACCCCAGCGGGCGTTTATTCCCAGGTAGGGGCAGAGGTTGGCAATGGAGAGGTTGGGCATCAGAGATGGGTGCGGAAAAAGGCAGATCTCAGACCTGGTGGCTCCAGCATCCCAGCTGGTGGGGAGACCTCGGGTGATTTGGTTCACCCATAAACTGGGTAGGACAGCCTCGGTGTGTGCCGCGGCATAGCCACCCACACAGACGCCTGTAGGGACGTGCCAGTGCCCGGAAATGCTGGAGTCACCAGGTCTGCTCTGGGGCCTCTACTGCCCTCCCTGCCCTTTCTCCCTGCACGTCTGTCACCTTCAAAGGGCTTCTCCGGCACCTGAGCTCCCTTCCTCTCCAGCCGGGGCAGTCTTCATTAAGGCTCTGACTCCTCAGCTCTTCTCTTCCCAATTTATGGTCTACTGCATCCCGCCAGAGCCTAATCTCTCAATTTCCAAATGTCCAACACTTGCTTTCAAGACAGCTGTCTCTGTGATGAGACTCAAGAACCAATTTTAATCTGAAAAGCCAAGAACTTGACACTCTCCACCCTGTCCCCCTGTCTCTGGGCTCTTTCTGTTTTCTGGACAGGGTGTGCTGCTGAAGTCATCGGAAGAGGGAGGTAACTTGATACACAACAGGGAAATGTGCATGAAAGAAACCTCAGTCAATGACACCAAGGTTTATCCTGTCACAAGAATGTGATTCAATTGAGAACTTCTTACTTTCTTTTTAAGTTTATTTATTTATTCGAGAGGGAGAGGGAGAGAGGGCGCGCGCCAGCACAAGTGGGGGAGGGGCAGAGAGAGAGAGAGAGAGAGAAAGAGAGAATCTCAAGCAAGCTCTGTGCTACCAGCGCAGAGCCCAATTTGGGCTCTCGGGAAACCACAAGATCATGACCTGAGCTGAAACCAGGAGTCCGATGCTTAACTGACTAAGCCACCCAGGCGCTGGACAATTTCTTCTTGATTTGAGACGATTGGCCAATCAGAGTTTGGGACAAAGTCGATAAGGAGTTTGTGTGGAGAGCAAGGAGAAGATCACTTGTCTGAGAGTCGACTGGTAGAGCCGAGTTCCAGTTGGGGGCTGATGCTTTCTGTGGGCCTTGAGGCAAGCCTTAGCCTCCCAAAGGCTCAATTTCACCACCTATAATACGGGGCTTGACCAGATGATTGTTTTGGTCTGTTCCAGCTCTGAAGTTCTGTGATGCTAGGATTCATGCCAAGAACAATTAAGGCCAGAAGCCAGATTTCTGATCTTGCTGAACTGACCACCTCTCCTTCTTTAAACTGAGTTTCCTTTTCAGTTTCTAAATCCAATTGTTTCTGTAACCGTTGGGCATTAGGTTGACAGTGGCCATCGGATGACAGCTGGACCCCCATGTAAACATTGGAGTGTGACAGGAAAAAGATCACGGGCTTTGGAGGCGCCTGGGTGCCTCAGTCCGTTAAGCGTCCAACTCTTGATTTCAGCTCAGGTCACGATCTCCCGGTTCAGGGGATCAAGCCCTATGTTGGGCTCCATGCTGACAGCACAGAGCCAGTTTGAGATTCTCTCGCTCTTTCTCTCTCTCTCTCTCTGCCCCTCCCCTGCTCACACTGTCTCCGTCTCTCTCAAAATAAATAAATAAACTTAAAAAAAAAAAAAAAGAAAAGTCATGGGCTTTGAAGTTAGACCAGCCCAGGATTTATGTTAGGAGGTGTTCAACTGGAAGTAACTAATAACTACCTAACAGTGACTTCCAACCATAAAGACATTTTCTGCTTACTCAAGAAATCTGGAGGTGGGAGGTCCTGAGATTGGTTTGACAGGCCAGTGGCCACACATTCCAAGTTCCATTTCGCATCTTCAGCGGGTTGGCTTTATCCTTGTCACCTCATGGATCTTAAAAGGCTGCCCCGGGCCACACACCTTACCTTCCTACAATATGCCGATAGACAGGGAGGAGAGGTGATAGACTCACAGGGTGTTTGTTCTTGAACTGCTCACCCCTTCCTAGCAGGGAGAGAGTGTTTTCCAGAAGCCCCTGCTCCCACACCTTTTTCTCCGGACTTGTTGCCCAGAACGGGTCCCATGCTCCCTCCCATATCAACCACTGGCAAGGGCGGCAGGAGTCTTGTGGCCCGCTAAGCCCAATCATAATGCTCACAAGATTTGCCACCTGGTTTTTTAAATTTGGGCTTCACTGGGGTACCGGGGTGGCTCAGTCGGTTAAATGTCTGACTTCGACTCAGGTCATAATCTCACAGCTCATGAGTTCGAGCCCCGCATCGGGCTCTCTGCTGACAGCTCAGAGTCTGGAGCCTGCTTTGGATTTCTGTGTCTCCCTCTCTCTCTCTCTGCCCTCTCCTGCTCGCGCTCTGCACTCTCTCTCTCTCTCTCTCTCTCGAAAATAAATAAACATTAAAAAATAATAATAAAATTTGGGCTTCATTTAACTGCCCGTGTGATATTGAACAAATCACTCAGCTTCTCTGAGCCCCGTTTTCAGCAGCTGAAATAGAGGCAAAATCACACTAACTTCACAGGACAGTGGGAAGGACTGAGTCAGATGATGTGTGGGAAGTCTCCAGGGCATTTGACCGTCCCCTGCACGCCCCACGTGCTCAGGAAATGGTAACTCTTGCCCTTCCTAACATCACTTCGGATGACGGTCGGAGAGGGTAGCCTCGCTTAGCCCTCTCGTCCCCGTTTTCAATTTCCATAAACTCCATTTCCGTGACAAGACACGCAGGAGCTTGCCAAAGTCAACACGTCGTCGGGCTCCAGTGTTTCCCGCTGTGGCACCTCCTGTCCTCACGGGCTCGGTGCCGCTCTGTACACAGCGGTTTTGGACAGTGGCCACTGCACATTTTGTGTCTGGATTTCTTGTGGGGGAGATTGAGCATCTGGCAGGATGGCCCCTGACTGTGACCAGTCTCCAGCAAGCATTGTCGCTGGGCGTGAGCGGCGACGAGACTTCTGTGAGGAGGGAGAGAACGGGCGTCCGCGGGAGAGGTGCTGCTTCCCTGGGACAGGGTGCCCTTCAGTGCTCCCACGGGGTTGGCTAAGGGGCGCCTCAAATCGCAAATCAAGCGGGGTTCTAGGGCTTCCGTCCCCTCCCCGCCTGCTGCCAATCCATCCGCTCTCTCTAAAGCCCACCCTCCTCCCACCACCTCTTCTCCTGTGGTCCCGGCAAGCCACTCCCTGGTCCCCTCCTGCCCCCCACCTGCCCTCACCTCCTCAGCACAGGCTCCTCCCAGCAGCCAGGCCGCGGTCCAAGGACGGGCACCGTGTCAGATCTTGCCGCGGCTTGGGCCCTTCCTGTGGCCATTCCATTACGGGTGGAATAAAATCCGAGGCCTCATGGTCTGACTCTGCCCACCTCTCAACCCCTGTCCTCACTCAGGGCCAGCTTCAGGGCGACCCATCTGCAGCGCACAGGGCCCCAGGCTTGCTCCTGACCCTGCTGTCACTGCCTGGAAGTTCTTAATCACTTCTGAACAAGGGTCTGCATTTCCGTTCTGCATGGGGGCCCGTGAATTACGTCCTGTCCTTACCTTCTTACCTGCCACACTCAGCACCCCTTCTCTAGAACACCCAGGTGTCCCTGTCCTCCTCGGCGTTGGCTGTTTCACCAGCTCCTTGTGGGGTCACTGCCTTCTCGGCGAGCCAGCCTCAGAGAAGACCCCCACCCCACTCCCTGTTGCCCGCCTGTGCATTGCCCACCCAGCACCCACCCTCTCGTCACGCCCTCTCCCGGCGCCGGGGCATCAGGACCCTTCCGTGACGCTGGAGGCTCACCTTGTCCCTTGTACGCCAGAGGCCCCACAGGCGCACGTTTTGTCACGTGCATTATATGTGTTCCTCACAAGTGAGCATAACAAATGTCTGGTTCCAGAACTTGGGTTCTGTCTGTGGCTCGGAGGAAGTAACCAGGGAGTTCAAAAGTGTTGTTCGCAGAAAGCGTTAACTGCTCTGTGACGTTGACTTGGGACAGGGGTCATCTGAAGGACAGAATGAGTACAACTGTCCCTTCGGTTGTACTGGCACTGCCTCGTGCATAGATGGGATTAATTGAATATCCTGAATGTTCGGTGGAGAGCTCTGATGTAATAAAATTAGGAACCGAAGTAAAGGACTGTGCCCAGGAGAAGAGCACCTTACACACACACACACACACACACACACGCACACACACACGCATAAACATGCACACAGACACACACCTATGTGCACACACACCGCACACGAACGTGTACGGGCACACACACACATGCACATAGACACACGTGCACACACACACACATACGCACACCACACACAGAGTCTAAGGCAGTGTCTCTCTTCTGAGCAGCGGGGAGGTCTCTGCCCGCAGCTGGGAGGTGGACTGAGTCCCAGATTCACGGGACCGAGGGGGCTGCTGGGGAGGTACGCACCCCTCCCCAGGAGTCCTGGGGTGCAGCCGCCTCTGACCTCGGACCCAGCGGCATCAGGTCGAGAGGGGGCTGGGATGCAGGGGACCCAGGGATCCCCAGCCTGCGC